GTAACAGAACACATGAAATCGTGAGGACGTTCCAACGAACCTCTCTACTTCTATTTACCCAAATTTATATTTTGTGTGAAGTAAACGCAAAGACATTTTTCAACTATATTCGGCTTCTAATAAAATAAAATAAAAAGTAAGCAACACGAAAAAGTTTAACAACAACTTCCAATCATCTTTTTACCAAAAAAAAAAAAAACTTCAAATCATTTTTTTGTCATTTAGTGGGATTTTTGACCCGGTAATGTGTTACAATATGGTGGAACCATTTCCACCATCACATAATCTTAATCATAACGTGGTCAATTTATACTAATCTCGCTTTAGCAACAACAACAACCAACGGTTGCAATCTGATTGAGAGGGTGGTTTTCTTTCTTTATAAAAAGCTGATGGGGTTTGTCATGAAAATGGACCACAATAAATTCATACAACTAAAAGAACATATAATCCTTAAAATTAGCTTGCGTTTTCTGCAATGGTTCACGGCGAGATCGACACTGGAGCTCCTTTCCGGTCTGTTAAAGAGGCGGTCACGCTCTTCAGCGAGAGAATTCTTCTCGGAGATAATTACATCAACAAGTCCGTAGAGGTAATACAATTATAGATCATAAATAGTTACTTTATTTTTGCATATAATTGTGAAATCATCATATCAATTATTAATATATGTAGCAATGATTTTTGGACCGTGTGATTAGAGAAACAATGAAGATAGTAATGTGGTTATTAGAAGCAAAAGCATAGAAGCTGAGCTGGATGAAGCAAAGGAAAGTTTGAAGAAAGCTGAGGAAGAGAACAAGGTTTTGTCTAAGCTTCTTGAAACCCTAAGACAAGAGCTTGAAACCACTAAGGAAGAGCTTAATCACTCACTAAGAAAATTCCCTGATCATCCTCAAGTCGAAGACGACCTCAAATTCATAGAGCAATCCACGGTTATTGAACCGGATAACATAACTGAGATCAAGATGAACCGGTTTGATCGAAATGAAGGGTTTGGAGATGGTGATGATGATCGTCTGGAGAGGAGGCGTTCGGTGAAGTTTGCGAATCCACCATTGCTAACGAAGATCATTGATTGCAAAGAGGAGAAGAAGAACCAAGTTATGGTGAAGAAACATACGAAGAAGATGAAGCCATTGGTTCCATTGGCTGCTTGGCTCTTTGCAAAGAACCGGTCAAGTTAACCATCATAGCGATCATCTCTCGTTTACTCATGTTTGCTTTACGAATTCTGAAATAATATCCCTAAACTAATTGCTTATTTTGTGGATTTATTCAACTTAATTTCGTTACAAAGGGGTCTCTTTTCTACAGAAAATAATGGAATTGGTGGAATTTTTATGAATGGAATAGAGAAAAAGAATTGAATAAAATCTATCCCATTCATTGAATGCCACATCAAATATACAGAGGGATGTTTTCCTTTGAATTTTGATAATTTTTTTGTGAGATAAAGTGGAACGTTCATTCTATTTTTTTTACCGTAAATGATAAATTTTTGTGTGCAATAAACAGGGTCCTGAGAATTAAGGGTCACAAACAAAAAAAATATTTTGGCCGGTAATTATTGATGTTTTGAAAGAAAACAAAATTAAACCAAATGTTTTCTATGTAGCCCATGGACCAATTAAACTAAAGAAATTTTATGCACATTTATGGGCCGATAATATATATAAACAAAACATCAAAAAAATTTGGATTGCAAGCACGGGCTTGGCCCGCTTGCCCTCAGGACCGGCCCTGGGAATAAGTGGAATGCTCCATTCCATTCATAAAAAGATACATCCATTTGTCACCAAATATATTCGGAAATTAAACTCTTCACCTCCAGTTTAAATTTCTAAACCGTTTAAATATTTTTACTGTTGACCAAAATATAAAAAAATCGGAAATTAAGACAAAAGCTGCATACAAGTATTTTTATAATTCATAGAAACAATTTGGTGCAAACACCCTCGCATCACTTGAGAAATTACATACTCATTCGAAAAATTCAAACTTCAACAATAAATCGAAGGAACATAACATGAGAAAGCAAACAACACATATTAGATTACATATCATTTAGAATTTCAATCCCGAACTTTGAAAATTGTCCTCGATGTTCATATCAATTTTGTTATCCATTTCAAGAGTGAGATGATTCTTCCAGTCACCAACTACCCTTTTGCGAAAGAAATCCTTGTGAACAACACCACTGACCAATCTTCCAGTCTTGTTGACCTCCATACCACTCAGACTAAGCAAAGAGCATAGGTCCAAAATTTCTTGAGCCAATCCAATATCTTCTTCCTCCTTAGTGAATGGACAACCCAAAAACTCGGCAAGTCTCTTGAGCTGAACAGAAGGCTCTGTTTTTAACTCCTCTATCTCACAAAAAGAATATGTTTGGGATCTTCCAAGCTACCTTTCCAATAGCTCAAGACATGATCCCAGTAAGGTTCGTTTGTAGTAACACCTCACAGAACATAGACTCGAAAACGCTTCTTGTCCTTTATATGTTTTGACGACTACATCTGAAATGCCAAGCCGAGACCAGAGCGTCTTTCATGTTCCTACACACGTACACGATCTTGCAAGAATAGTCTTTGAGAGGCTCTTGTAGTGTAGGCAATGACATGTGTGTCGAGAACAACCTAGGAGATGAAGATGAAGATGCGAACTTGGTCAGGTCTGGTGTTGTGGTTTGCGTATACAAATCAATCTCGAAGATTGGTACTATTCCATGAGGGTTATCGGATCGAAGAGGATGATCAGAAGAAGAATGGTGCTTTGATCGCTCTAGGAGGGCGATTGAGAGCGCCTTGATCCACGTTGT